AAATTCGTAGAGGGACTTGTGTCTCTAAACAACAGCCCAAGAGCCTGACCACATTCCTGTGGTTGATTTCAGAGAGAACTACCACCTTATTGATGAACTGCGTAGTTTGAGTTTTGTCTACTATTTTTGACCTTTTGATGACAACTACTCTTTTGTCTTTTAAGCATCCTTGGTAAACTGTGCCATATCCACCTCGTCCGATGATTTTGCTATCATCATAGTTGTTGGTTGCATTCTCAAGTTCTTTAGAGGTGAAAATTTTTACTGCATCTGTTGATCCTTCTTGTCCGACGAGTCATTGAAGCAACATAAAGCCACAACATTTTGTAGGAAGAATTTTTGTTTGAGCTTGATTGATTTTCTTCTCTTCAGTTCAAAGTACAACCAAAAGTTACTGCCGAGCAGCAGCAGCACAACGCCCATAAAAATACCTATAATTGCAATTGAAGAACAACAAAGAAGAAGGAATAAGTTTTTGCTTTCTGTGAAATAAACGTAAACAAGTTTAAACATCGTTTCTTGTCTAACATGTTTTTGTTTAGACATGAATATTCAATTTTTTGTATAACACTATAAAGAATGACAAGATAAATCGTTTTAGTAAGACATTCCATATAAGTATGATGGATGTTACTCAATGATCCCAGGGCGGCTCAAGTCAATTTGAGGCCTAAAGCAGAAATATTAAATGGAGGTTTTTTTATTTTTAATATTTATTTTTTATAAAAAATTAATTTATTTTTAATTTTTTTATGTGAGAGGGAGAAAAAAGAATAATGTGTTAATATTGTCGAAAAAGAGATTTCAACTTTTATTTTTGTTTTTTACCACAGAAAGTGAGAGATAGTGTTTAATTTTAACTTTTGTTTTTTTTTACCAGAGAGAGAGAGGGAGAGTGGGAGTAAATATGAGTTGAGTTTTGAGTTTTTTTTTTTTTTAATTCAAAATTTTAATGTTATGGATTGGATTATAGGCCAAAATTATTGCAAAATTTTTTTTGATTGGATTTAATTTTATGAGGCTTTGTTGTAGGGCATAAAATTTAATGGATTTAATTTTTTTTGTGGGTTAATAATATACTTAAAATTAGGGTTTTAAGGGGGCCGGTACCCTTTTTAGAAATTATAGTACAAAAAGTACCACTTTTAAAAATATTGGTCAAAAAGTATACAATACATAACAAATGTCTAAAATAGCCCATTTGGAAGAAGGTGAATAGTCTCCTAAATTTTTCCCTCCAAAGCCGAATCAATGGAAATGGACTGTTACCCATAACTCCTTCAATATTGCTGAAAATGTGGGCTCTTCAAAAATTGATGACATAACTTCCTAAAACCTCCATTCTTTTAAAACCAGGATGTTCAAAATCAATTCTTTTTTTTTTTGTTCTTTGAATGGGTTTCTCTGTGAGTTAGTGAAAGGGTACTAGTGGGCGGTGAAGAACGAATCAGTGAAAAAAAATGCGTTCATTATGGAGATAAAGGTATGTGAACACTTCATAAACTCTCTATTCCTTTCAAGACATGATGTTCAAAAATGGGTTTTTCGTTCAACTAGTTCTCATTTTTTTTTTGATGTGTTCACTATTCAATTTTGATGTGTTTACTATTCAATTTTGATGGGTTCACTTTAACAATATTGAAAACTTCCGTTCAAGACATGATGTTCAAAATGGGCTTTTCTTTCAACCCATTTTCATTTTTTTTGATGTGTTCACTGTTTAATTTTGATGGGTTCATTTTAACAATGTTGAAAACTTCTGTTCAAGACATGATGTTCAAAATTGGTTTTTCGTTCAACCCATTTTCAAATTTTATTTTATTTTATGTGTTCACTGTTCAAAATGGTTTTTTTTTTTTTTTAAAAAAAAATTTGGGTTCAGTGTGAAATAGTGAAAGTCTCTGTTGTAGATGGTGACGACCACACCATTTTGTAAACGGTGAATAAAAAGGCATACATTGGGGTGAGGAATGATTGTTGAGATCGTTGAATAGTACTTGAAAAGAACTTGTCGACATTGGGGAAGGTAAACTTTGATAAATTATGGCGTTGAATCAATAATATCTCCAAGTTTTTTTGGTAATTTGATTGATTGTTACAACTGCTATTTATGATTAAATTGTTAAATTTCACAAGGAATATTACATTATGATTCAAGTAAATTTGAGTATTTGTAAATCCGCAAAATTTGTTATTTGACCAATAATGTAATAACAAACTAATTTCAACTATATGTCAGGGTCGACTGTGGTGTGTACGTTTGCTACATTATGAAACAATTGGCAACATGAGAAGACGTAGAAGAGAATTTGACACAAAGACAAATAAAAGACTTTCGAAGTGAAATACTGTCAATGTTTATGAATTATCAAAATTCTTGGACAGAAGAAGATTTCAAAACGAGACAAACATTGAAAGACAAATTTGCAGGTACATGATTAGTTCTTCAAACTGTTATTACACATTTGAAGTGTAAATGTGATTAGTGAACAGTGTCATTGGGATTTTGATGTAATATTGGTAGTATTTATGTGACTTTGGGTTATGACAATGTGATTTTGGATTCTAACAGTGCAACTTTGGATTATAACAGTATGAAATTGCAATGTCAATTTTGTTAATTTGATTTGTAACAGTGGGATATTAAATTGTCACATTGAGGATTTAATTTGCAGCAGTGTGACATTATGTAATTGAGTGACAGCAGAATTATATTTCTTTTGTATTAGTATGAAATTTTCGATGATATTAGTGTGTCATTGGTTGTATCAGTATCATTTGAAGGTTAAAATATGATGACATTGGTTTGAGTGAGGATGGCGTTTGGCTAAAAGCAATGTGTCATTGGCTGATAACAGTGTGACATTGATTGTTAACAGTATATCAATGTTTGATAACAGTGTGTCATTGTCTGTTTATTATGTTGATTTTGGGTTGCAGCAGTGTCTCATTGATTGATAATAGTGTGTCATTGGATGGTCTGACTATCTCATTGTATGCTTCTATATTGAATGTGGGTTATATCAGTGTTACATTAGGTTCATAACATTGTGACATTGCATGGTCTGACTTTGACATTAGCAGCGAATTTTGTGACGTGTTGTTACACTGTGACAAATACAAATGTACAACTGGGAAAAAAAATTACATGCATAGATAAGATATGAAGGATATTCCACATTTAAAAAATCATCCTCAATTTTAACACAGTTCAACACACTCCATCTCTAAACAAACCCCAAGTTTGATAACCACATTGTTAATTTATTCTGTGTTCAAAGAAAAATAAACATAAAATAACACCAACTATATTGTCAATAATAACATTTAATCACAACGGTGCAAAGAGCATTACGAAACTGCAACACACCACACCTTTAAATTTCTGTCCTACACGTTTGATTTCATTAATCCACCCAGATGTTAACAGAACTTTCTCGTTATGTTGACTATAATGAGGCATCAAATCATCTTTCAAATCAGAATCATCATTCGGATTATGCAAATCTTTAATTAAATTATTAAGAGCACCTCCATTTGAGTCATCATCTTTTACGGTTATCTTCACAGGAACATGATTGACGTTAAGAGAATGTGACATTTCAAACATATTTTTTAAGTCTTCATCATTCTTCAAGAAACAATTTGGGATTTCGGAGAGTGAATATGACAACCGTACTGACAAATCCCACAACAACTCCCACGTATCACACACTCAATTTAACACATCCTCAAACGGTGAATACCTTGAAACGTGGATAATTAACAACTCATTCTCATAACAGCATAACAAAATGATCATATCCTCCATCAAAATTCTGTGAAATAAAATAATGTGAAACATATATTCGTCATTACAATTTATTTAAAAAAAAATAAATTTACAACAGTGTTTAAGACATACATGACACACGTCTTCTACTGCAAGTTTGTGGAAGATGTGTAAAAACCCGGCAACGATATGGAAGCAAAAGCAAACCTATTAAAAAATATGTAATTAACTCAAGCAGACTAACATATGGATATTTGAATAAAACTTTTATAGACTATATAAAACATGGGTTAAGGAATGGATAAGGAAATCGTTTGTTAAATGGAGGAAGAGGAAATTCAAAATTCAAAAATGATATATCATTAAAAAGGAAAACTGAATCTAAAATATAACTGTCATATTTGTGTCTCATTAATAAAGGAAAAGGACAATTTTGTAAGAGAAAAAATTAAAATTCAGAAAAGTGTACTTCCTCACTAAACATTTACACACAAAGGTACTTATACACAAATGTTTTACACTAAAGTACTTTTCCACAAATAAGTATTACATAGTATACTTTTTCACAATTTTCCCTTAAAATTATGAGACATTTTAAAAATTTTGAGTCTAAAACCCATATATTTTTTTAATATTGTTGGGCCGGCCCTGAATGATCCGAGAATTATAAGGAATAAAAAAGTCAAACAAGCGTGCAAGGTTTCTACTTATAACGGGTTTGGGAGAGAAAAGTTGGGACAAGAAATATCCTACTAATAAGATGGATGCTGTTTCAAAAGAAGTTTAGCGGTCTCCTAGGAAAAATCAACATCATATTGCCATTAGCTACAAGCATGCCCCTGCTTCGAGGATGAAAAAGGGATTTAACTTTCAATGCCATACAGTGCTAATTAGGTTGCGAATTTTACTAAGATCCAAAAAATAAATCTAAGCTTCCGAAAAGGACAACTTCCCCCAACCATGCATGATACCTATAGGTCGTACTAAGATTCAGTTCAAGTCTTACTTTAGGCCTTGCTAATGACTACTTCATAAACCAGAAACAAAATTCCCTTTTTTTTTATAGTTTTATTGGAACAAGGGTGAAAAAATGACATAAGAAGTATAAAATTTCATTCCAATCAGTCCAATCCAAATGGAATATCATGCTAACTTTATTTAACAGAAAGCAAAAACTAACTACTTTTCTCAAACTAACTGCAACAGAAAGGAATAAAAATTTGATTCCTCAGGACACAAGCAAATATATGATCTCTTCACTAGTAAGAGGAGCAACAGTGTGATAATCCCCACCAGTAGTTGCCTGACTAGCTAACAATGGATAAGCAAAGCAAGCTTTCATGTGCATAATAGGAAAAATACAACAAATTAAGTTTCCTAAAGCAACCTTGATCACTAGTGACTGATTGGCAGTGCAACCTTCTCCACCTTTTCTGCCATCCCCTTGGTAGCCCTCGGGGCAGGGTGCACGTATAGTTCCCTATCGTATTATGACAACCTTTTTCAAATGTACACTTATTGAGTCTTGGATATTTACATTCATCAATGTCTGCAAAACAATTGAAAGGAAAAGGCACCCATTACCGAAGCTATCGATAGCATGCGATAAAAAAAAAATATAACTAAAGATGGGTATATTATAATAATACCTTGGCAGCCAAGGTATGGGTTACCTTCGTACCCCTCCATGCAATCACAGCGATACCCAGAAGTGGCATAACCATTATCGGTTTGTAACACTTGGTATTGTCTTTGCATGCAAAAGTAGCCGAGTTTTTTTTCAGCCACCTCACATGTTTCGTTTCCAACGGCCCAATCGACCACCATCGGAAGCATGCTTGTGTTTTGCAGTTTTCTAAGGTAAGTCGGTGTGAATTTGAAATCACTTTGTTCGGCAACAAAGGCATAGCCGCAAGGATTGGAGCCTGATAGATTTGTATAGTTACTATAGCTATGTAACTCGATATCAATGCCCCACACCCCTTTAGGGATGGATGTCTGGCAACAGCCAACTCCGGAACAAGAACCATCAGCGATACTGTTGAGGTTGTCACATTTAGACATGCATCCAGTTGTGGAAGAATTCTGCAGCCCCTCACCTTTATAGAACTCCAAATACGCATGAGTATCACAACCGATTACTGTGAACTTATTCTTGGTAGGATATCTCCTTGACATTTAGGTTACTGGTTCTCAAAAATCCTATGGGAGGGTTGAAAGAGTGGTTGCAAGTGATGAGGATGGCTTCGTCTAGATAACAGTCTTTAGTGATGCCAAATGGGTATGGGATGCTTAAATTCCCACAATGATCAGCGCAGCCTGGATTGACCATGGTTGTCGTTGCTTGAGTAGCAGTTGGTGCTTTGGACAACAGGAATGCAAGGGTACTGAGGTGCACTAGCAACACATAAAAATGGTGTACTGAGGCCATGGTCACTAATTTTTGTTAATGGTGAGCTTTGTGATAGCAGAAAATGGTGTTCTTCTTGGTCCTTTTGTAGGCACTCCAAGCCTCCAAGGAAGACAAGGTCAGCCCAGTGGTACATAGGACAGTTACTAAGCGGGATGCAGAAAGTTTCAGCCACTCTTTTTCAGCAAAGCGGGATGCACGTACACAATGCATGTGCAGTGTTTAGAGGGCGTTTATGTTAAAATACATATTTTATGAATTTTGTGTTATTACCAGAAAATTATGGGGTTTTCACATAGTTAATTAGTCCAGTGAAATTTTAACTAAAACATCGAAAATGCACCATTACCGAAACATGAATTGAAGCTTTTATGGTTGAAGGAAGCTTTTACTGTAAGTATCAATTGAAGCTTTCATAATTGATACTTACAGTATTGCCCAAAATAAACCGAGAGTACGATAAGGGTGTCATGTGCAACAAATCACAGCCGTAAAATGCCTCCGCAACAGGCGTCGTGTAGGTAGGTCCATAAGCTAATATCAAATCGCAATCAACGGTGATTTTGCAGCCAATAAATCCGGGAACACTGGGACACGAAATATAGGATTTCATATCCCGTGAATTTTTCCAATCTCCTGCTCAAATAATCAGGCTCATTTAGAGCCTAATCGGCACCTAGAATTGACCTTCTCAAATACTTGCTCTCATGCCTCACTCATCTTATCCTGGTGCAAGAACCCAAGGAATTAATTAATATAATCTATACTATTTTGTACGTTAGGCACCCTTTGTTAAAGAATTTTAATTTTCCTTTTTTTTTTCTTGGTTAGATACTTTTGCCTTTTCGTTGTTTCCTTCTTTGAATTTGCTTCCTTCGTCAAAGTTTAATCACATGTATAATAGTATACTAGAAATAAGATATTTAGTGGTGACGGTGTAAACCGAATTGTATGAGTAATGAATCGTAATTATGCTTTGCAGTGATGATGTTGTGATAATGAAAGAAATGTTTTTCTAGGAGCTGGGAGGATTAACATAGAAGAAATATAATGGTTCACCAGTTCGGCTAATCCACTATTTAATGGAGACTCTTGCTCCTTGTCTTTCAATAATGATGATTGCAAGAGTACAAATGACTAGTTTTTGCCTCTAGGGTCCTGTCCCCTCCTTGGGGGCGTTACATAGTATTTATAGGACTGTTCTTTATTTAGTGGGATCTTGGCCGAGATCCTTGCCCTTATTTCATGGGGTTCTCCTTAATTTTAGAAGAAGATATTGGTTGGTTGAGATTAGGTGCCTTGATTATAGCTTCCTAACGCTTTAGGAACCTCTCGTGGTTATCCAGCCGTTGTCTTGCCTTAAGAGACATTCAGTCCTTGCCTTCTGATCTCAGTTAATATGGCTGACCTCCCGGTCTGAGCTGAACTCCTGAGCTAACACTTGAGATTTAATTTAGGCATCATCAGTTGCCTCCCAGCCTTTGGCCCAAGCGAGCTTGGGCATGGGCTGAGCTGCTTTCGCATTGGACCAGGCCTTCACCTAGCTGACCTTAGTTTGCATGTGAGATGCACGTGGGGGGGCTCTTTGACGGTTTACAGCAATCATGGCTTCCTCGATTCCCATGCATGTTTCAGCCCATGTCACTCAAGCTTTAAATGCTCAATCGGCTACTCAAAAAAATCGCTCAAAACTCCCTATTCGTCTTCTACGCTGTTCACCTTTGTCTCCCGCTCTTTCTCTCTGCGATTTCTGGGTTTTGCTCCACACGATTCTCTTATTCTCTGCTCAAAACTGTGCTTTCTAGGTTCGACTCGAAGTCCTGTTTTGCTCTTCTTCTCCAATTTTGTTCTTTGGCTGTTGTTTGTTGTTCTCTTCCTTGTCTAGGTACGCTTCCTTCTACCCTTTTCTATTTCTCTTGCCTTTTCTCACTCTAGATCCCTTAACTTTGAGGTGGCCATTGTTGTTCTGAGTTTTTCGGTTCTTTTTCTTTTGGAATCGCGATCGTTGCCTATTTCCTCTTCCCCGCTTTGTGGATTGGAACTCCACTGTGCGAATTCTTACTCTCGGGAGGTACAGTGTTGACCCTAGGATTATCAGGGAATGTTTAGTTAATATTTCTCTTTTTTTATAATTCTTTCGATTTGCCTTTCTCTTTGCCAATCATGTCTACCTCCTCTGGAACAACTCCTTCCTCTGTTTTCCTCCTAGGCGACAGGTCTGCCGAGACAGATTCTGATTTAGGGGATGTAGGTGATGAGATTGACAATTTCTCCGGTGTTGAGGCTGTCGATACCGAGGTGGACTCCAAAGAACTCCCCTCATCTTCCTCTCATGTACCTCCTAGTGCTGATAAGGGTAAGGGCAAGGTGAGTGAGGTTAGAATTCCTGATAGTACAGCGGGTATAGGAACTGCCTTCAGGCATACTGAGCTCGTGGGTCCTAGTGGGGTGGATCCTATTCTCATGGAAACTCTTAGTGCTCGTTTTGGTTTCCCCCCTAGTGTTCAACCCTAGTGCTCGGATAAACTCACCCCATACGTTGCCCAAGTGCACAAAAAAGTTTGTTTCTTTGTGGTCGCTTTCAAGAATAACCTTCATTCCCTATACATCCCTTCATCAAAAATATTCTGCAGAACCTCAATATTTGCCTTGTTCATCTTTCTCCTAATTTCTGGGGTGTTTTAGTGGGTCTTTTTGTTTTCTTTAAGAAGCATGGGCTTGGGACTCCCACCATTCCTCTAATTATGGACCTTTTTAATGTCAAGCTTACCTCAATTGAGGGCTTTCTATATGTTTCTAGGTGGACCTCATCTAGGCAGATCATCACACACCTCCCGAGTTCTCACAAAGGCTGGGAAAAAAAAAAATTTCGTTAGGGGTGTCAACTGGGAATACAACCTTGCTGATAAAACAAACACTCTTGGGATTCCCAGAGCCTGGTCAGCCCCAGATAACTTAGGTGAGTTCTTGCCTGACTGAACTGCGATTTGAAGATTTATGAGTTGTTTTCTTGACTTCTGCATTTTTGGTGTTCCCCATTTCTTAGGCATTCGACCTGAACTCAGCGATGAGGACAAGCGGGTGAAACTGAAGTTGGCTGAGTGTAATCCAGAGAGGTACTCTGAGCTTCTTAAGCCTTGGGAATTAGAAAGGCAGGGATTCGACCCTCCTCTAATTCCACTTTCCTTTATCCGACCTGAGGACATAGAAGGTAATGCTATTTCCCTTATTTGGTTTCATTGTTTTCCTCCCTTTCTTTTTCCTTTTAACTAACTAGCTCAAGCCAAATCTCCCAGTGTTTTCTACAATGAACCCTACCCCTGAGATGCTCCAAACTAAGGTAGAGCTATTGAAGAAGAAAAACAAGGGTGGTACCAAGCACAAGGCTGAGGACAGTTCTGGTGGGAGTCTAGTTACTCGAGTTAAGGTTCAGAAAATGGGTACTTCCTCTGCCTTTATCTCTATCCAAAAGGCTCCACCATCCCCCCTACATGCTTCACCAACCTCAGAACTTTCTCTCCCCCAAGGGACCCGACCTGCCATTAAAGATGCTTTTGGGCGAGACCAATCCTCCCCTTCTGCATCTGAAGTTGAGAGGGCCCTAGAGACTGCTCACACTTTCCCTGGTCGTGCTGCTTCTACATCAACCAATAAGACTTCCCAACCTCTCATGACAGGCAAAGGGGTCTTCTCGAAGTCTGAGAATTCTCTTATTATCGATGTAAAGCGTGCTGCAGAGGCCATTGCCTCAATTATCCCAGAGTCTGACATTGATGCAGCCACTTCTGTATTCCTAGAACCTGTGTTTCCATTGTGTTGTATGGTTGTACCTCGGTGAGATTCTAATTTGTCAAATTCTCCTTTTTTTTTGTTTGCGCTCTTCCCTTTACACTAATCTTTCATGCTTGTCTTCAGAGCGCCATTCAAATAAGCAGCTTGTTAAAGCGAATCCAAGCCTTGGAGGGGTCGGCCAATGCTTCCAAAGCTTTTGAGCTGAAATGTGCCGATTTGGCCTTTGAGAATAATGACCTTAAGGTCCAGGTAAAGGAGTTGCAAGAGCAAGTGGAGCAACAGTCTTCCCTTGCCAAGTCTAGACAAGAGGAGCTCAACAAGACTAAGGAAGACCTTCGATCAAAAATCGATGACTGGATCGAGGAGAGTCGGAAGTCCCTTAATGCTTTGGCTTCCTTCAGGAACATGAAAAGGGAGTACGAGGTGCTAGCAGAGGCCAATGATGCTGTCAAGGAGGAGTTAGGGGCTGCTAGGGAGGCGCTGGAGGTGTGAGACACTACCATCCGGAAAAAAGATGAGATGATTGCCTAGCTAGAGAATGACGTTCTTACCAGGTGGGCAAAAGGGTGAATTGCTTTCCAGGGTATAGCTGAAAGGACTTACCCTGAACTGAACTTTAACTTTTCAATTTCCCATGAGGAAGAGGCCGAGGGGTCTGATGAAGAAGAGGATGATGCTCCTGCTCCTCCTGTTTCTAAAGATGTGCCCATAGACTCTGGAGGGCTCATTCCTCTAGTTGGGACTTCAGCTCAAGATGTTTCTGCCTCCTTAGGCATCTCTACTCCTCTGACTGCTGAGCCTGCTTCTTCCCTCCCTGCTGAGCTGGCCACAAGAGCCTTGGTTGAATCTGAGGTCTCTGCCTCTTTGCCTGCTCTTGGCCCTCCTGAAACTTCAACTGTTACTATGCCAAAGAGGTCGCCTACTGAGCTGGAGAGCCCTTCTTCCATTCCTCGTGCTGAGACATCAGCTACTGCACTGCAGGGCCCTTCATCTACTCTCCCTTCAAAAACTTAGGATTTGTAACTTTGGGCTAATTATCTCATAATTGTAACATTTTGAAACGAAAATTTCAGAATTGTAGCATTTTGTTTCTTTAATTTACTGCTTATAGCTCTCCTTCTTTCCCTTTGCTTTTAATTTGTTGCTCTACTCTACCATCAATTGAATATGATATTCCTTAATTCTTTGCCCCCTTTGCTTCAGGGGTCATTCAGATCTCCTTGAAGTAA